AATTCCTAAATCTAAAGGAAGATATAAATATCTAAGTACAGGAAGATCAAAGTTACCAATAAGATTAAGTTTAAATATCATTACCCCAATACGTATTATAACTTCTTCAAGTCTAAGGAAAAGAAACAAATAATACATAAGGGTATCTCCAATTTACCTGACAATAGACTTTTAGCAGAAGCATTATAAGCCAGCAGAGAGCGAATTGAAATTGTTATAATGCTGTATGAAAAAACTGCCAAGCATATCTCTACCATACCCAGAAAAGATATGCTTTTAGACATACAGGACAGAGAAAGACATTCACAGAGAGAATTTAACACCTGTATTACAAGAAATGCTTTAGAGAAGTCTTTAAACTGGAAGGAGAAACAACAACAAGAAAAATATCAGAAGTTAGGAAGAAATATACTAACTAAATATACTAACTCAGAGTGCTCTATTAATGCAAGCATGATGTATATAGCATTTCTACATTATATAGAATATATGTCATCCTATATTATGGAAACTAACTATTTGTGTGTGTATGCTATTTTTTTATGATACAATTCCACAGGTTCTGGGATTTCCCCAGCCCCTTCCTAAACTCCCTTCCCCTGAAAAGTAAAATATTGAACAGTTCAAATAATAAACTACATGAATATTTTGAGACAGGCAATATAGAAAGATACAAAATGCAATATCAAAAATGCAAGTGCGTGGAACAGACATTTAGCAGTAACTAAGGCATCCCTTAAGACACTTGTACCAGCGTTCCTGCACACAATAGCTTGATTTGGTTTTCTGACCTCAATCTCCTATTAACGTAGCTCCTCAATTTATTGGGTTTGTCATCCTTGGTGGAGATCTGCTCTGAGCTCCTGGTGTTCAGCTTTGGCCTCTGTCAGGGGGGACAGCCCGGACATTTGGGAAATAATGAGAGCTTTTTCTCTGTTTCTCTGTGACTCAAACAGATAATTAAACAAACAATTTTAAAAATTAAAATGTGAGAAGAATGGACTTAAAATATAGGTCTTTGGAGGTTGGCATTGTGGTACAATGGGCTAGGCCATCACCTGTAACGCCAGCAAACTGTGAATTTTCGTCATGCAATTCTTAGATACCTGTGCTTAGGGTTAACTGCTGAGTTTTGTTTTGTTCCTTTGGTTGTGTTATGCTTGCCTGATCGCTCATGATCCTTTTGACAATGCATTGATATATGCAAATTTGAAGAAATTTTGGGTAACAGCTTCAGTGGGGAAAGCCCTTTACCACCCTGCCCATCTAGAGATTCTGGACAGGCCATTCGGCATGCTTCATGGGTGAACCTGCTCCTGAGTCTGGCATCTATGGAAGTGGACAGGCTTGGCTTGTGGGGCTGTAACTTCTCCCCAAGCAAATTCACACTTCCTTCCCTCTGCATACCTTGTTCATCAGAGTTCAGTTTTCACGTTTCTAACTCACAGTTCTTTGCTACAGTCTCTTCCAAACCTCGGGTGTCAGGCCCAGCATCTTGCCATACTATCAGCTATACACTTCACAATATTTTATGGTCACCTAATATTCATCACGTTAAGACTTTTCAGCTGGGCATCAGAGTCCTCTTATGATTTCCATCCAAATCATCAGCATGTTCATTATTTACAGCTCAAAACACTAATCTATTTTTAAAGTCCTCTCTTTTTTCCAGCTCTAGTTCACATGCAATAAGTCGCCAAATCTCATATACATATATATGTATATATATGTTTTTTAACAAATAATTTTCGTGAATTCCTTTTTGTTTCTTCTCATCCCTTGCACCATATCATTGGCTCTCAGCAGCTGCTGCTTCAATCCTTCCCTTTGTTGTAGATTAAAGTCAATTATCTTCAACTTTGATCTCATCTTGTCCATACTTAATCGCTTCTCAGCCTTTTGGTTAAGATCAAGTGTAGTATCATCTTGTCCATACTTTATCTACAAAGCATAAAATGCTACTCCCGTGTGATAAATGACATATAGTTCCAATTCCTTACTCTGAATTTTCAGACCCTGATTTTATATTTTATAGCCACATTCCATTTTTTCCTAATCCCTAATATAGCTATCATCGAGGCTGCTTTCTCTGGAATATTCCTTGTTCACTTGTTTCCATGCTTTTGTTCCAGAAAATGAAAACTTGAAAGACCACTGCCATCCGTAACTGTATTACTGCCAACAAATGCTTTTACTGAACCATTCCACATTCCATGTCAACCGTCAGTGATAACTTTGTTTAATTATGTTTTGAATAATTGGAATAAGACAGCCTATTATAAAATACGTGCTTGGGCATATTTTACTTACTTCATTCGTATCTCCTAAACATCAAAGACCTTCTTTTGCAAGTAAGTTCATGATAAATCTCTCCTTTTAGGACTAAAACATGATGATACTAGTTGCATGCTACATTTTATGTAAAGGAAATGAAAAGATAAAAGATGACTTTGAATGTACTTTTCAAGCGCCTGCCTAATTAACACGGAAAGTTATATGTATACTTAAACGATTACAAATACCACTTTAAAGTGTATTTTCTATTCATTCATTTGATTCTCAGACTCTACCAAAACTGAATTGAGGATAATTTTAACAGTTAAAATTATCAGTTAACAGTTAAAATGGACTGTTAAAGTTATCAGTTAACAGTTAAAACGGACTGTATATTTTTTCACAAATTCATCTAAACAGTTTTTATCAGAAGATATTATTATCATCTACCCTTCACCTTTGCCACACCAAAGTAAAGAAAACACCTGAACATTCCTGCATGACACAGTGAACAGGCTGAAAAATAAAGCACGCGGTGTATTTTAAATGAATGATACAAGGAAACAGCAGGATCAGAGTGTGGAGAGGGCAAAGAGATCGGCAACCTAAATGAAATCTGCCAAGTTTGGCTGCATGTTGTTTGGGAGTTTTCTTTTGAATTTTCCTCTAGGTAGGACGACTATTTTTTTTTTTTCTCACAGGTTTCTGCAATGAAGGTCTGTCACTCATTAGTTGTTCTGCAAGGAAGGTGACCGGTCTGTGTTAATCTATGGGGTTTTTTTTAATCTTAAAAAAAGCAAAATGAATTGCACCTGATTTAACACTATTGATAGATAACCATGGGACACAGGACGACGTGGGAGGAAAGGAAATGGAGAAAGGCAGAAAACAGAAAGAGGGTGAGAATTGTCAATGATGGGGATTGCTGACAAAGGCCCGCGAGCGTCCCCTCGTGGCTGACAGCGAATCCTTCGGAGCCAATACACCTCGCAACAAATCAACCCCACAGCTTTGGCGCAACTCGCCGTGCTTTCCTTCCCAATGGAACAGAAACGTCTCTAACAGGCACTTCACGCTGTTATTCTCTGAATGCAAATCCTTTGGTGAGCCAGGCCACAGGCACATCATAATGTGGCAACACTCCTCCAGCACTCCAGAAAACCCACTGCCCTGTCAGGTGCCTCGGAACAGCACCCCCACTGGGAACAGCAACACAGCCGTTTCTGTTTTAAGCAGTTCGAGATCCACTGGGAATTTTCAAAAACAATCTCTGATTCTGACTTTAAAGCCCACAGACACATATCCTAATGCACAAATCCGCGTTTGAACACACACACTTGTTTAATGGCTACCCGCCGGGATGCAGGGAATACCACGGACATAGGCTCTTTGCTTTTAGGAAATGCAGCGATTTTAGGGAAAGAAAACGTAACCACACATACCTATATATACGCCATGAAGGACACGACGGATATGTCTGGGTGAAGCCAAACAATGTTAGGCAAAACCAGATCAAAACAAACAAACAAAAAAACATAAAAAGGAGGGAAACACAGTCCAGCCCGAGAGAACATTTTTTGTTTTCTGGGTCCCGGCGGTCTCAACCTCTCTTTTTAAAGGATTTACACAAAGAAGAGATAGAAAGATCTTCCATCCTCTGGTTCACTCCCCAAGTGGCCGCAACGGCTGGAGCTGAGCCAATTGAAAGCCAGGAGACGGAAGCCTCTTCCGGGTCTCCCACGCAGCTGCAGGATCCTAAGCTTTGAGCCGCCCTCTGCTGCTCTCCCAGGCCACGAGCAGGGAGCTGGATGGGAAGTGGAAGCAGCTGGGACACGAACCGGCGCCCATATGCATTTACATGCAAGGCAAAGACTTAGCCACTAGGCCACAACTTCTCATTTAATGAGTACATCCCCGAGCGGAAGGAAAGAGAAGACGGATCGGACAGACAGGCCCGGATATCTTGAGCTCTCATTTAGGGGTCATCCTTCCACGGCCACGCAGCCCAGAGAAAAACGCGGCCCGAGCTCCGACTCGCGCCCTGCGGCCAGTGCCTCATGCCTCTCACACCTCACGCCCCTCACGCACGGCCCTGGCGCCTCACGGGGATGTTCACGCGTGACCCCGACCCCTTAAGCCCCTCACGCGCGGCCCTGGCCCCTCACGGGGACGTTCACGCGTGACCCCGACCCCTCACGCCCCTCACGCGCGGCCCTGGCCCCTCACTGGGGTGTTCACGCGTGACCCCGACCCCTCACGCCCCTCACGCGCGGCCCTGACCCCTCACTGGGGTGTTCACGCGTGACCCCGACCCCTCATGCCCCTCACGCGCGGCCCTGGCCCCTCACGGGGGTGTTCACGCGTGACCCCGACCCCTCACGCGCGGCCCTGACCCCTCACGGGGGTGTTCACGCGTGACTCCGACCCCTCACGCAGGTGTTTTCTCACCCGGCCCTGGCTCCTCACGCGGGCGTTCTCACGCGGCCTTGGCGCCTCTCAGAGGCGTTCACGCGTGACTCCGACCCCTCACGCAGGTGTTTTCTCACCCGGCCCTGGCTCCTCACGCGGGCGTTCTCACGCGGCCCTGGCGCCTCTCGGAGGTGTTCACGTGTGACCCCGACCCCTCACGCGGGCGTTCACGCGAGACCCTGGGTCCTCACGTGGGCGTGCAGTGCGTGCCTGGCGCAGGCGCAGAGAGGGGCAGCCGTGCTGGAACCGGCCGGCAGTTGCAGAGCCTGGGTTCCCCGGCCCCGGGGTCCCCGGGATGCCTCGCCTCTCCTGTTTGTGGCTGGGGCTCCTACTGATGGGATTTTCCCATGAGCTGAACCAGGACTTAGGCAGAGCCAGGAAGCTGTGCGGCCGGCACCTACTGAAAGAAATAGTAAAACTTTGCGGCAGTGGGGACTGGAGCAAGTTCCATTTCGAGGAGCAGACCCCTTTGCAGGGGCAGATTTCCGGGAAGTCCGGAAGCACTGCTGCCTTCATCCCCAACCAGTTTGGAGTAAAACCAGGTAAACGGCTCAGCCACAGGCGTGTGCATCTCGGTACATTTCACATCCCCAAGTATGTTCTACCAGAATAAGTTACCCAAGGAAACGGGATTTGTGTTTAGAACACAGGCACATTTTTAAATAAATAAATAATAACCAGGGGATGGAAAATATACATAACCCAAGTAAAGTAATTATAGGCATATGTGAGCATACTGTTCCCCCCCCTCCCCGTAGAGGTACCTTTCTGAGGCATGTTTATCGTCCTGCAAACTCCGTTTGGCCCTTCAAAACAAGCCTTCGGTCTTATTGTCCCTGTAGAGTCAGCATTGCTCTGTGTGTGTGTGTGTGTTTTATTTTTTAAGATTTATGTATTTGAAAGGCAGAGATAACAGAGAAAAGAACAGAAAAATATCTTCCATCCGCTGGTTCTCTCCCCAAATGGCCAGGAAGTTCATCCAGGTCTCACGTGGGACCAGGGGCCTCACTATTTGGACCATCTTCTGCCTCTCCAGGTACATTACCAAGGAGCGGTATGGAAAGTGGAGCAGCTGGGACTTGAACTGTCTCCCATACAGGATGCTGGCGTTGCAGACGAAAGTTTAACCCTCTGCTCCCCAGTGCCAGCTCACCATTGTTTTTTGTTCTTTGAATCCTCACCCTCTACTCTGTAAAGGCATCTAATGTGGTATCTTTTTGAGTTCTAATAGGACGGGCTACCTAACTGGCTCAACCCGATCCAAGGCGAGAAAGGAAAAACCCTGGAAAAACCAGGAAAGGGAGTTAAAGATAGTACAATGTTAAGCTTGCTCCCTTTCTTGTCAATATCTCCTCTGTACATTCTTCCATCAGGCCTCGCTTAGAAGTTCATGTACTTGCGCTCTTATACATTCACACAATTATTGAGACTTTCAAGATTAGGGCAATGGGGCGTTAAAATCAAATGCAGGACCTGTGTGCACACACAAGACTCACTCCCACAGAGCCAGCCCTGCGTCATGATGTACTGTTTTAGGGAAACTGTCTCATACAAGCTTTTGTGTGATAGGATGTTGATTTGCTAGACTTGCTGCTAGAGTTAAGGGAAGACAGAGGCAGGCTAACAAGAGGTGCCAATACGGCAACATATTTTCATTTGAGAGCAATCACTCTATTCCCTGACCAAGTTATAAGAGGTACCAGGAAAGACCCAACTGCATAAGGCTTTTCTCCATTAGCTTATTTACTGACCATCCCTCTCACCTGCAGCTCCACTCCCTAGAAAACGAGGGCTCTTTTTCTCCAGACCATCTTGTGAAGATACTTTGAGGTGTTGCAGAGATGTTTGTCTCTTCTGGGTGTTTACCAGCAGTGTAGCTTTTGTGTAGCTTTTTCAGATCCTCCGTGGCGGTGATACCACATCGGCCAAGAGATGGAGGCAGTCAGAGGATGATCTGCTTGTGGCCAATTTGCATGTAACCACGCTTGTAAATAAATCAGTTGTTTGCTGACCCTAGATCCCGGTGCCAACACGCAAGAGGTGGTTCCACAATCATCAACATGTTCTTGAAGCCGTGTTGAGCTTAGCGATGTCCTGTGGAAGAACTGCTCACGGCAGAAAAGCTGCAACCCTTTTCTGACTTCACGGCTCATAGCCTTGATAGCTCTTATCCTGATGACAAGTGCCAGTTGGGGTTCTGCAGGTGCACAGAAGTTGCCAACCTTTGCTACCTTCCCTGCTGTTTTTTGTTTCTGTGCATCGGCCCACATGCCTGTGGTAGTGCTTAGCTTTCCATAGATGGGCTTCCTCTTTGCCCTTTGAACCTTGCTTTGGGCAAATTGCTCCTTCAGACACTTGATGGTCAGTTTTGTAAAATTGCTCCAGGTTTCTGACACAGCAGGAGCCTTCTCTTCCCTCTCTTTGGTGCCCCCTGCTGTTGCAATGAGAAAACAGCTCATGCAAGCTTTGACCTAATGCCTAACGCTGGGTCGGGCATGAGTTCCTGCCTTCGATGTGTTGAAATTTGTAGCTCATACTTTCAATGTAAATCCTGATTAATGGTGGATTCCAAGTTTTAAGAAAAATTATCTTTTAAAAAATAAGTTTAAAAAATTATTTTTAAATGTATTTTACTTATTTGAAAGACAGAGAGAAGGAAGGTAAAGGGGGGTAAAGGTGGGAATTTCGCATCTACTTACTCCACAAATACCTACAGCAGCAAGAGGCTAAACTCGACCAAAGCCAGAGCTGGGGACCTGACCTGTGTCCTCCATGTGGCTGGTAGAAAGCACAGGTGCATTCAAGGGAAGCTGTGAATCAGGAATTTAGACCGAACTGGAACCCAGGAACTCTGAGTTGAAGTCTTCCCAAGCAGCATATTTTTTACAAAAGAGAATCTTCTATCCAGCGGTTCACTTCTCAGGTGGCTGCCACAACTGGGTTGGGTCAGTTGGCATCCAGGAGTCAAGAACTTCATCTGGGTCTCCTACATGGGTGCAGGGGCGTGAGGGGAGCTGCATCTGAAGTGGAACAGCCGGAACAGAAACCTGGCACCCACATGAGATGCTGGCACTGCTGACTGCAGCTATATCCACTACACCACAGCGCATGGTCCTATATTTAGCTGTAACTAGCATGACACGTTACTGTTAGATGAAGTCAATTATCAACAATTCTAATATTGTGATTAGCTGCTCAAGTCTGTAATCGGGAAAAACTGATTCCCCTTCATATTTTTATGTGTGCCTGTTTTTTTCCTACCACATTCTGTTATCTTATATCTTAATGCATCTGGCTAGAGTTCTATTTATTAACCGTTTTAATGATCCATGTTTTAAATAAGCACAAAGTTATTAAAAGTGCTATAATAGTACTCTAACAGCGAAAGACAGAGATTCACCTAAATTTCAAGAAAAAGAGGGAAGTAATGCTATTGTAAAATGCCCCCCAAAACTCCAGAAATGGGTTTGGAAAGCCTACAAATTCTCATTCACTCTAAAAACCACCTTTTTTTCCTGCCTTTTTGAATCTTTTCTCCTTTCTGTTCTTCTTTTCAGCTTTAGCTTGCCATGAGAAGCCACACAGAAACTTTTCAACTTTTGTTGCCACCTTTTCTTATCACTTTTTTAGTTCTAATTTCAAGGGAGAAGATGTGATTAAGCCAATTCAGTTTTTTTTTTTTAACATGACATTACTTGCTGGATAATGTAAAAATTATTGGTTTCCTTGAAATCAGGTCCCAATTTCCAGTATTTTGTAACTGACCGCAGGGTGAGATGACATGGTTCAAAGGACTGGTTGTACAGTGAAGGCTATTGACAAAGTTCCTAGGAGGACCCATAAGTGGGCAAGGGTCATGGCAGAAGTTTAGCTGACCTCCAAATGATTATAATTTAGAGTTTAGTTTCAGTGTTCAGTACACCAGAATGCAGAATACATCAAGAGCAGTGTAATGGCAACATTTAGTTCATTATACCTTGGGAATGTAATTTCTCCGTTTCTTTGTATTTCAGGGAAAAAATGGTTTCTGTTAGCCACTTGAGAATGAGAGTGATTGCTAATGGATAGTTTTGAGGGGAGGTAATGGTTATAAAATATGCACAAGAGGCTAGCCCAATTTAAAAATGGCCAAATAATTTGAATAGACATTTCTCCACCAAGAGCACATAATAGGCATATAAAAAGATGTTCAGCATCAAAAGTCATTAAGTAGAAACCACACCGAGGGGAAGGTGTTTGGACAATGCTGAAGACATCACCTGGAACACACAGTTCTCATCTCAAGACTGTCTGGGTGTGAATTCCAGATCTACTTTCGGTTCCAGCTATAAAATTCTGAATCTGATTGCATGTGCGTGGTATCTCAATGAAAACGTTAGCATGAAAATGTGCACATTTCGTGGACTATTCTAATAGGGAGATGATTCAATTATTTTAACAAAAGAATATGCTGCTTTGAAGCAATACTGTCCGTTCTTTATTTAGAATGTGATTTTTTTAAAAAAAAATAACTGATTATACTTTTCTCGTAATAGAAAATCTTAATAGATTTTTTTTTTCCGTGTCTCTCTGCAGCCTTTCCTCCTACTGCCTCTCAGGATGAAGGAACAAATGATGGGAAGCTGCAGTCACTGCCCCAGACTCACCACAAGAGGGCGGAACCACCTCCTCCTCTGGCCGTCAGAGCAGTGCCTTCATCTTCTGATAGCAACCCAGATACTCAGGAGCTCATCCAAGTACAGAAGGAAAGCACAAACCGAATTAAAACCTTAAGCAGTGTGTTTTGGGGGAATCATCCCCAAAGAAGACGCAGGGGGTACTCAGAGAAGTGTTGTCTGAAGGGATGTACAAAACAAGAACTGGGCATTGCATGTCTTCCTTATATTGATTTCAACAACTTAAAAGCAGCAGCACTTCTGACCGAACTATTCTGACCATGGCAGGAATTATATTAACTTAATAAAAGATGAATAGATTGAGTTCGCTGCTTGGTAGTTGTGCTTTGTGGGGGTATGCTGTGGACACCACCTGAATGGCCTTACCAGCATTAGGCAGTATCTTTTGATACAATAGGATCTTAGGGATTTCTTTGTTGATTGCTATTTTGTCTCTTATTTTCCTTATATTTTAAAAAGATGACCTAGTTCATGGAGGCGTCCAAGGATTACCTGTTCGTTTCTTGTGTTTTAAGCTGCAGTTAAATGGACTGTGGCATTTTTCTCTATTCCATCCATATGTCACCCAGATTGATGCCCATGATGATACGCTCAATCCCAGATGCTACAACATCTGTTCTAGCACCAGAAATAGCTAACCAAATACCACTCCGTTGATGCTCTGGCACTGTGATAGTAGGGACACTCTTTTTGTTCGTTTATTTGGATTTTGGTCTCAGCTGCTCCACTTTTTTATATTATTATTTTTTTCATGATACAGTTCTATAGATAGACAGACTTCCCGTTCCAAGCCCCTCATTCTCCTGTACTGTTTTCACCACGTTATTACAATAATACACTCCTTCAGCAACAATTCTAAGTCCATCATTGGGGTGCCTGATTTGAGGTTTAGCTACTCTGTACTTACGATGTAGCTTCTTGTGAATGCACCTACAAGGCAGTAGATGAGGGCCTGCCTGTGTGGGTTCTTAGCACCCAAATGGAAAAACCCGATTGGAGTTCATGGGCCAGCTCCAGCTGTTGCCAGAATTTGGTAACTGAACAGCAAACTGTATCTCCCTCTCTTTGTCTCTGGTCACTCTGACTTCCAAATAAATAGCTTTCTAAAAAAGATTTATAATTATTTTGAAGTTTCATATTCCTTGTGAACAGCAGATGACGGCCCAAGCACCTGAGTTCCTAGCTCCCGGCCTCAGCTGGCCCGGCCTCAGCTGTTGTTGCACATCTGGGGAGCAAACCAGCAGATGGAAGAGACCACTCTGCCTTTTTGAATAAATAAATCTGTAGAAATACACTCTCAGCATATGCTATTAAAAGGTATGGGTCAGAGTCAGAAGAACTGGCCCCCAGCCTGGCTTTGCCCTTGCTCAGCTCTGCAATGTGGACATTTTATTCCTTTGGATTATTTCCTCAACTGTGACACGAGTGGCTTCACCCATCTCTTCTAGCAGGCCGGTGATGCTTTTGTGCAGTACTACGCTGACTACTGGAAAAGACCATTTGTTTTCTCAAGCAACCAGAAATATCTATTTAGAAAGCCAATTTAAACAACACTTCTTTATAATCTGGCCTAATTCTCTCAGAGGTCACCCCATGTAAGCTTTTTGAAAGTTTAAACTTTCTACAGTTGGCAATGGAACTCTGGTGGAAGGATGATGGAATGGAATGACGTGGTCTGGCATGGCATGGACAGAAGTAAACGCTGGGGGTTGATCAAAGATTTGTCATCAAGGGTGCCAAGAACAGAATAAAGGAAAAGACAATTTCTAGGAAAACTAAGAATTAGTTACAGAGAAACTGGGTTGGGCCCTTTGCTATCACATAGAAAAATGAACTCAAAACGGGGAAAAGCACACATTTAGAAGAAAATGTAGTGGGGAAAATGTCAAAAAGTGTAGCAATGATATGAAGATACTTCATAATGTTCACAGAGGGTCTGGTGTGGTAGCCTAGCAGCTGGAGTCCTCACCTTGCATGCACTAGGATCCCATGTGCTCACAGGTTCTAATCCCAGCAGCCCCAATTCCCATCGAGCTCCCTGCCTGTATCCTGACCCATGGCAATCGAAGATAGACAAGGCCTTGGTACCCTGCACCCATGTGCGAGACGTGGAGGAGGCTCCTGGCTTCTGGCTTCAGATCAGCTCAGCTCTGGCTCGCGGCCACTTGGGGAGTGGATCAGCAGATGGAAGATCTTCCTCTCTGTCGCTCCTCCTCACTGTATATCTGACTTTCCAGTAAAAAAAAAAAAAACTTTAAAATGTTCATGGAAGATGGAATTTGTCTATTTTACTGCTAATAAATTTTGAAATATATGGTGCTCATTCATATTGAAGATCTTTCCTATTTTTCTTAAGTCAAACTGAATTCATACAACTTGGTCTGCTATTTGGAGAATCTGGTGACTCATTCATTCTAACGGAACAAAATATTATGTTGAAAAATTCGAGAACATTTCATTAGAAATTACTTAAGTACCAGTTTTAGAGTGGACACAGCAATATTCATAAAAAATAGCCTAGCAGATCACAGTCGCAGGAAACATTTCTTAAAATGTGAAAGTTTTGTACTATAAAAAGATTTCTCTGCACATTCCTTACCTTGTGTGTGTGTCTCTAATCCTACGTTTCAGGTGGCAATACAAAAGAAAATAACTTCTGAATATTTATTACGTCCACATTTCAATGCTGTGGGAACATGTTAAAGGAACAATGAAGAAATTAACAGTCTCAATAAATTAAGTACAGAAATCCAGATATGAAACTGGTCCCCCACGTAATGAACTGTCTTTTCTGATATCTCCTGCATAACAAATCTGCTTAAATAAAAACTGATCGGAAGTTAGGATAAAAATTTCACTTGATTTTAAATTAAGTAGACTTCTTCAGAAAGTATTCTTGAATAACATGTTATAGTTTTACTGACAGGACACATAAATAGCATGAAAAAAAATGACAATTTACCAAAGCAAGCACTCATAGAAGTAGGCAGCTATTTATAAAGACTGTATAACTTAGTAGCCTGGAATATTTACAGAATTATAGAATTCTAAGAAAAAAAATACTTTATCCACATTTTTGGATAATAAAAGAAGCATTTTGGAATAAAATGGCACCATGCAGAAACCAACCTAACAGCAGCAGTGTTAATTTCTCTACAGATTTTCAGAATCAAAACTTAACATATGACAAACTCAGAATGAAAAAGATATTTGCTGAAAACTTAGGATTTTAATAGTCACCCCACTCTAAAAAAAGAGTGGATTTGTGACAGTTTACCTAAAAGATGAAACATCAAAATTGTTTGAAGACCTCTAGTTCACACCATTGTTTTAAAAAAGCAAAATGTTGCAGACCTTTGAGAATATTCTATCTTAAGTACTAAAATTTTAGTCCAGAAATCGAAGATCAAGCATATTGCATTATATGCTACTTTTCACATGAAAAGTAGATTGGAAGATCTCTTAATTTCGTATAAAAATTCTTGAGACACATTTACAAATTAAAAGTCTTCCTCAGAATACCTACTAGAAATATTTTTTAAAGATTTAACAGTCTCTTTTTTGGTAATTTCTGCATCCAACAGCTACTAGGATGCTTTAAAGATGATGAATGTGAAATGTATTTTACTCCCTTTCTCTCAACCAAAAGTCAGAAGTCTTCAGTACAAGTTTTAAAACTTTTCGACCACTTAAAACTATTTTCATTTTAGCCAAAATATCAGATATTTTAGACTTTGTATAAATAACACGCACACAAAAACCCACCATATTTTATTTTAGATATGGCATTTAAAGTGAAATAGAACTAAAACAAATGACAACAAACAATCCTTTATATTGAAACTGGAAAGTGGTATAGGTCTCATTTCATTAAAGTTGCACATTCCAAATGCACTGCTGGCATTCTTGAGTAAGATGAACAAACATTCTTTTTCACCAATTTCCTTAATTTCTCCCTACTGCATGAGTTAATATTACACAAGAAAATCTCTTCTATGACTTGCAATAAGAGAATTACAAAACCCCACAAATATATAACCTTTAGAAAAATATTCTCTGCCCACTTTTTATGTGTCTTAATAAGCTTATACATTTAAAAACCAATCAATTTTATGGCTTATGCTTAAATTTAATGCATGACCATAAGCTCCCCGGGATTGAACAAACTGGTTGGCAGTTAACAGCTCCAAAGAATGATGCTATTCCTGACATTCTTAATTCCAAACTTTCAAAAGAAAAGTATTCATTGTGGCCTTTTAAAAAACTGGGAGATAGTTCTATTTAAAAAATACATTCACCACAAGAAGGTATGAGGGAAACAAATAAGAAAATAGATTGTGTTTTATCTTTGTAAGCTTGTTCCATTTCAAAATGTGTTCTTTAGGGCAAGGGAGATTTCTTGTACAAATAAAACTAGGCATTTGTTCCCTTTGCTTTGAAAAATATTTACAGTACATGAAACTACAAACTGAAAGATTACACCTGCTTATATTGCTGGTCAGTGATAAAAATGAACAAGAATGCAAAAGTGCTTTTTTTTCATTCATCTAAGCATCATGCTTTCTTTTTGGGGTGAAGTTGTTGAAAATCAACTATGGAAAAACATTATGAATGAGCATCAGCCCTGTGTAAAACATCACACAAGATGCCAAGGTATTATACACTGATTGTGATAAAAACTGTACATATATATTTTGTGCATCTTCAACAATTCAAAATTTACATTATAATTTGCTTATCCCTTAAAAAGCTGAGTTGAGAAGTCCTTTTGTTTGTCTGTCCTCTGACAGAGAAGAGTTAACTGACTGATACAGTTCATGAAACTTTTTATAAAACTTCTTGCTCTGAAGTTTTCATCCATGCCTTCCATGTGTAGCCTCATTTGGAATCACCACTGTGGAGCTGGTATTTTCACATCTTTGCTGACTAGCATCATGATTTATGTCACACTGCGTGTCATAGCAGTCCACAGCAACGGGAAATACTGAGTTCTCTAAGTCCACTTTGGTCTCGCGTGAAGGTCGTCTGTTTCACCCAGCCATGTTGTCCCTTATTTGATCCACTCGAACAGCCAGGTCCCTAAAAGAGGGACGGTGATGTACATTGTTGTTCCAGCATTCTGTCATAATCATATAGATCTGTGAGAGAGGAGATAAGACAAAATTACAACCAGTACTTCATGCCGTACGGGTGGAAGACACGAATATGAAATCCCAGTTAATTTTCTTATTGGGACACGTGTCTGAGCCGAGCCTGGATCTATTTTAAGCCATTTATGCTCTTTCTCTAAAAGCTCGGC